CAAAATAAAAAAAAAAAAAAAAAAAAAAAAAAAAAAATCCAAGATAATGAACCAAAATTAGATAATTCATTTTTTCATGGTGTTAGAAATCTTTACTTGATTTTACCTTAGGGAATAAAGTAACTAGATGATTACTAAATTTTTTAAAGAAAACAGAATTAATGTGAAAATAACCAGGATAAATTACTGCCTGAATAAATACACCCTTGGCCCCGGCAGGAGGGAGGGTCACTGAAAATTGAGCCCATGGCCTCACCTATGCTAGGCAAGCACTGTGTCACTAAGCTATAGCCCTAGTCCTGACCTTTTAGACAGCTTTTCTGAATTGTTTTTGAAATATCAAGCAGGGGATAGTACACATACCTGCCGTCCCAGCACTTTGGAGCAAGGCTGAAGCAGAATTGAGACAAGACCACACAGTAAATTCAAGGCCTTTCTAAACTGTACTGAGACAGTGACTCAAGAAAAACCAAATTAATTATTAAGTTTGTAAAACTATAAAAAAAAGTAGGTGGTAGAGGCAAGGAGTGAGGAGAGGGGAGGGAAGAGGAAGAGGAAGGAAGAAAGAAGAAGGAAGAGGAGGGTTTGACAGTCCAAGGACAACACCAGAGCCTTTCTAAGGGTGACCAACCTGTTCTGAAATGTAAATGTGATACCTCAGCAAATCCAGAGGCTTCCTGGCTGAGAACTAGATTCTAGAAGAAAACCCTGTAGCAATGTGTAATCATTTCCTGGCTTCATGGTTATGTGTATTTACCCAAGTAAGTCAAGCAGAGCAGTGGGGGCATTTAATTGTATGTAAAGCACACATGCTCAGTAAAATTGACTTTTAAAAATGAAAGTCATGTGATCTGTGGTCCAGGTTCTGGAGACCTGGGGCAGTTACAGAAGCACCCCACAGGGCAGGACCAAAAGTTCAGTATCAAGGATGTATTTACTGTGTCAAGACAGAAGAAGGTGGTAGTGGAGAAATGATAAGATTGACCATCCCTGCTTGGCCAGACATGCTGAGCACGGTGTGGTGACCCAGCGTCCTCATCTGTAAAATGGGATCAGTGATATCCTGTCCTCTAACCTGCTGGGTTTGTAGTAAAGATTTAATTGACAAGTTAAAGGACAAAATACTTTTCAAATTAGAAGCTTTTTTTTTTTTAAGGAAAAAAAAAAGGGGCTTTGCTTGTACCCACTTCTAGTTGCTTTTACTCTCAGGAATATTAAGAAGGTAGGTGGGGAAGGTGGGTGATGACTCTGAGCGCAGCTTGTTCCAGCCTCTCACTTCCGGCTATTGCTAAGTGCAATACAAATCTGTGTGTTGTACTTCCACACAGTGTAAGTGTTGGTGAGCATCCTGTGGACCCTGACTGCCCGGCTGAGTGGTGTGCTGTGTTGGATTCACTGTGATTGGGATGCATTCCCTGCTCTTTAAGGCATGGGCCACTGTGACATAAGACAATGTGAGAGTGCCCAACACTAAATGAACAGACTTCAGAGCAGCTCAGTTTAGCTCGGGCCTTTGCAAGAGTCACAGAAGCCAGCAGCATTCTGGGGCCTGGTGTGCAGCTCATCTCTAGGATAAACCTTTTCTCCAGCAGCATCACATAATGAAAAATTATTTCGTGCCAGGGACTGTGCAAAAGATCCAAAAATAAATTTTCTTTGAGCCTGCAGTTGTCTTCATTCTTCTGGGCATTAAATAAGTTCTGTGTTAGAATACCAGAAGTGCAGAATGCAGGTATGAGAGAGCCACTGTTTAGGATTGCTTCACTCTTGGATGAGATCAGCAGTAAACAGCCTGTCGTGTCAGTATTATTGAGGCGACAGATGAGGTAGCCTGGGCTCAGGGAAGCACAGAGGAGTTTTTATTTCCAGGACCACACAGCCCCTCCAGGGAGTTCCTGCTCTGCTTGCTGTTGCGGCTGTGCTCCCCACTCCTGTGTTCTTCAGTCGGTTCCCTGGTTAAGCCAAATCCTGTAACACTCACCACCTGCCCATCTCCAGTCACTGCCTCTGCGCCATTCCTGCAGCTCAAAGAGAATGGCTTTGAACAAAGGCTGCTGAGGATGAACCTCACCTCTCTGCTAACAGACTGGAAGCTGGTGTTGCCACTTGGAATCAGCTGCAGAGTGTAACTGTTGCCTTTGTCAGCAAGCTTCCTGGGACTCTGTGTCCTCCATAGTGGTGTATGGGCCAGCGACAACCTGAGTGCACTGAATCAAAGAGTTGTTTGTGCCCTGTGGCCATGTCTGGTGTAGGCCTGTAGGCTAAAAGGTGGCAGACAAAAAACTATGTATTCCCTTTTAGGTAATTGAACAGCTTTCTACCCCATGTCCACAAAGTACACATTCTGAGCTGTGTGTGTGGTGGCTCGTGCCTTTAATTCCAGCACTTGGGAGGGAGGGGCAGGCTGATCTCTGAGCTCAAGGCTAGGCAAGTCGGGGCTACATGGTAAGACCTTATCTCAAAAAAAATTAATTAAAAATGAATAATAAAACCACATTTTGGTATGTCTTTCTCAGAGCATGGTGGGAGTACAGTTTGCCTGAAATTTTTGCCGACAGTGAGGTAATTTAAGAAGTAGTGGGCTTCAGGGCGGTGGTGGTACACACCTTTAATCCCTGCACTTGGGAGGCAGAGATAGGCTGATCTCAGTGAGTTTGAGGCCAATCTGGTCTACAAAGTGAGTTCCAGGACAGCTAGGACTGTTATACAGAGAAACCCTGTCTCAAAAAGAAGAAGAAAGAAAGGAAGGAAGGAACGAAGGAAGGAAAGAAGAAGAAGAATGGGCTTGTTGTTCTTAGAAGGAACTGAAATGGCCTTTCAAATGTGTTAAAAAAAGTCTTTCTGTTCCTCTCCCCATGTTTGTATTAGCTGAAACAGTTCATGGGCAAATCAAAATAATGGCTCAATATCTAGAATGTATGGAGACCTATTATAACTCAACAATTGAACAGCCCAACTTAAAAACAGGCAAAGGACTTGAGTAGATATTTGGTCAAAGAAAATATACAAATGACTAATAACCTCATAAAAAATGTGTTTAACATCATTA